TATATATATACAACACATAGGGAATAAGGACATCCTGGTGTTTTTGCATTTCAAATACTACTTAAATGTAGCAGTACTCCATACATACTGTGGGTGCTGAGTATTCACTCATTTTCTGTAAATAAAGACCAACAACATACATTGAAACACACAACCGAATCTGAGACGGACTGCATAATAGTGGCGGTTTGTGTTGAGAAAATGTAACAAACAAAATATGTTTCTACTATATCAACGTTCAACAATTGTGACTTAATATTACCTACAACATATTGTTGTACAAAACTGCTGTTTTTAGAGTTATCGTCTGCCAAGACGTGATAGCTGTGCAGCGTGATAACCGTTGAAATGCAACTCACACTTTGTGATTCACAACATATTTTGTAGCCTTGTTTCATGCTCAGACTAAACAACACATGTTTTAAGTATAGCATCAGTTCTTTTTTTTTTCTAAAAGCTTACATGCCCTGCTGTTCAGACAGAGATGAGCCACTTTGTAGAAATGTTTTTTTTTATTACAAGCTTTTTGTAAGAGGCTTAAAAATGACCACAATGAGCTGCGGATGATAGCATTATCCAGCTTTGTTGACTATTTTTTTATGACAGCTTCCTAGGGTACTAGATGAAAAATTTAATTGAAAACTTTAACCACCCCTACGAACATTGCTGACTCAAAGAACCTAAAAACAGACATTTTTTATGCTTAATAGTGAGTTATTTTCTCACAATGTGACTTTTAGTTCTCCTTTTTTGTTTTTTATGAATCTCTTTTTTTTTTACCAATTTGGTTTATGCTAGCCCCTTTCATGTCCTCAAGCCTACATTTTTGTTGTCACAACCTGGCTTTTTAGCTCCCCCCACACTCGGTTATTTTTTATGTTCGTTTATCATGGAACAACAGCACCGGTGCCGTAATTACAGGCCAAAAGGAAGGTCCTGGAATAATTACATATCCTTTCACGGTCAGGCCTCTGAGACCGAAACAAGGCCTCCTGCAGGTTATTTGAGACGACTTGAGCTTTTTCATACTTCTTTCTGAGAGTGACATTTAATTCCCAAGTGGACGGAGCCAGACTTTCCTGTCTGGACTTTGGTGGAGCATAGTGAAGCTATTATGAAAATGATGGCTGGATTCATTCATTGCTCTTGTTGCAGCTACTTTATTCTTTTTTAAAAAAAAAAAAAAAAACCCAATATGTGTTGAGTCTCATACATTCTTGTTCTGGTTTTGCCTTTGTGTTTTTTTGTTTCCTCTCTAGGTTACAACGTAGTAGTGCGGATCCCAGCTGGAGCCACCAACATTGATATCAAACAGGTCAGCTACTCTGGAAAACCAGAAGATGACAACTACCTCGGTTAGTGTGAACATGTCAGAAATTTGTCCTCAAATAACGTGCATTTACATGTGGTCCCTTCCGTTCTTACTCACAATGGCGGATGGCGTTGTTCTTGTATATGACCATGATAGACTTGGTGACCCAGATTGGCATGATTACAAGAGGGTTTGGAGTGATGGGGAAAACTGGTTTAAAACTGCTTTCAATAATGATAAAAAAATATGTTGTTTACATCAAGTTTACAGTACATGAAGGAAATGTGGGGGGGCCATCTGGGTTGGTTGGGAAAGCAAATGGAGTGTCAGCCACTGAGAAAGATAAATGAGGCAGCAATAAGTGCTAATTAGACGCAGGTGGAACCCAGGCTGTATGAAAGCAGATATAGGGGTTTAGAGTTAGGTGGGCCCGAGTTCTCTGTGTGTATGTGTTTGTGCTTGTGTTAAAGTGAAAGGTGTATGGAAACAAAGAAAGGGAAGAAAAAAAATCTGCCTGGAGGGGGTGATAGTTCAAGTCAGGTTTGAAATGTTCAAAAAAAAAAAAAGAGAAAATTCTGAGAACACATCTGGCAGATCCTTGTCTGCACACTGCTATTAGGGGGTTCAGCATTTGCAACACCCTGACAATTTAGTCATTTGGGGTAGAACATTACATAGTAAGTTCTGTTATTTTTTTAGATAAACAAGCACACTATAACGTAAAAAAAAGAGCTTATGCCTTTGGAGTGACTCTATGAGTTTGAAGCTCTCTGCTTTTAGATTCTGTGGGCGATTTAAGAAACAAAAGATGCAGAGGGCACACCTGCACAAACTTGTCATTCCTGTAAAAGAAGTGAGGATTAATCAATTTGAAGAGTAAATAGGAAAAATAAATAGCTGAGAAAGCAGTCTGCACACTTCCTGCAGAGCTGGGATTGGCATCTCAGATATAAAAAAATGTTTTGACAAATGCTGAGTAAGCAGTGAATCAGTAAATAAACATAGCCGCTTCTTACTTTAGCCTCTCTCTTGTGAGTTCATGTGCACCATTGTTGGAGTTTTTTTTTCTGACTTATAAATGCTAATCCTCACCAAGACTACTTTTCTTACTGAGATTACACAAATTTTTGGAAAATGAACATTAACCGGAGACAAATTATGCTTTTAAATCCTTCTTTTTCACATTTAAATCCTTCAGTTGGGGTCTATATAAAGTGGAACTGCAATGCTTTGGTCTGCATTCCTCCTTATTGTAACTCCACAAGCCCCTTTTTCACCCCGTTTCTGAGTTGTGTCTAAGATCAACTCATTTTGAGGCTGTCTCTTTAAATCCAAAGGAGGCACTTCACACCACACCTCTCAGCTTCCAGAGCGACCCGTTGTAGTTTGATAGCAGAGAAACAACTATATAGCAGCACAGAAACTTCTTTTATTTTTACGAAATAATGAGAAGATGTCAACGACAGAAGACTTGTCCATCCAGTCATACATGTTGGAACCAGAGTCTGACCTAGAGGGAAAGAAGGATGAAGATGACAACATTGTAGTTGAGTCCAGACCTTATTTGGAAGTTTAATCACAAATACTGTGACATAATAGTTCAAAACACTTAATATATAATAAAGAAAAATATGACACAAACAGGATGTACAGATATCTAGGCAGCACCGGGCGAAACTAAATTCAACCTTTCTGCACTCCTACAGACTCCACATACACAACAAAAAGCCTTTACCAGCTAAAAATGTGGATTTTGCATGACATGTCCCCTTTAAACTTCTGATCTGCGTCAGCCTGAAGAAACATTACAGTTGATCATAAAACATTCTTGTATGTGTTCAAAATGTCAGTCATAACAACTAGAGATCACTGTCGGCTGTAACTGCCAGCTGGCATCAAACACTACACAGACTGAAGTGTAAGCAAAGTTTTATCAAGAGACAAAATCATATACATTCTTTTTGTTTAAACTCACAATTGCAACTAACTGCAACTCTGATCACAGAGGAGGAGGCAGTTGGTGTTCCTTAAGTTTTTTTTTTTGTTTTATGGATATAATTTGCTTGTCTTTGCAATCAGTGGAGAGCAAGTGTTTGCATTGCAGTGCCAGTATCAGAGAAGAGTTTTAACTCCACGTAACTTCAGTTTTGTTCCATAATTATTCTGTATTTACCCTGTAGTAAATACAAAACAATATGGTTTTGCAAAACAATATGCTTACTGTATGGCTACATTTCAACTGAAACTTGTCAATAATGTCACATTTAGATGTTCTCATCAGTCTGTTTCTTATTTCAGCACTATCTGACAGCCAGTCTAACTTCCTCCTGAATGGCAACTTTGTGGTGGCCATGTTCAAAAGGGAAATCACCTTTAAGGGAGCTGTCATTGAGTACAGTGGCTCAGACACAAAAGTAGAGCGTATCAACTGCACCGACCGTATCGATGGAGAGCTCATTCTGCAGGTGCTGACATTTTGATTTTTATATAGTCACTTTGTGACATGTGTTTAATCCCTCAGTCTGACGAGATAATGTTTCTCTGTGGCTATGGTTGTTGCTGCAGGTTCTGTGTGTGGGAAACCTTTACAACCCAGATGTGCGTTACTCCTTTAACATACCCATTGAGGAGAACAGGGAGCGGTTTGTGTGGGATCCCTCAGGCTCCTGGCTTGAGTGCAATCGTATCTGTCAGGGTAAGGTTTTGGCCAACCTTCCAAAGCTTTTCACACAATGAGTGATGAGTATTGGCTCATTGATATCTCATAAATGCCAATAATTGTCCATGTGGATAAATTTTATTTGAACAACGGTCCGACAGGCAAATCTTTCAGAGCATCTCAGTGCATTCACATCATACAGGTTTTAAAACACATGAATCTTGCATCTTTTAAAAACAAATTTCAAACATATCTTAACCTTTTTTTCAGACTCCACTTCATCAAACTATTCAATCATTTTCATCCTAGTCTGGCCCTTAACTGATGCCTGACTCACACGGCAAAATGTTAAAATTGTCTGTTGATTCTCAAAACCGGTGAGACCCCACACGACGATATAAAACCATAAATATAACAGATTTGGGTCCACAGTGTTTGGTTTACAGTCACATGGCAAAAGACAACACAAATTTTACACAGGAGCATTCAGTTTATTTATTTATTTCCATTATTTAACCAGGCAAGTCCCGTTGAGATCTCAGGCAACCTATTGTACATGTTTTTAGGGGTGGGGAAAACGGGAGTATCCGGAGAAAACCCACGCAAGCACGAGGAGAACATGCAAACCCCGCACAGAAAGACCCCAAGTCCGAACCGGGGATCGAACCCATGACCTTCATGCTGTGAGGCATCGGTGCTAACCACTGAGCCGTTGTGCCGCCATTTGGGGAAATATTGCAGAATCTCTCGAGAACAAACTTGAATTAAGAGTAAAAAAACATGGCAAACAAGGAAGAAGCAATGGTGATAGTTTGTGAGCTAGTTTGTGACATCGACATTTATTAGATTGTGTTGTGAGCCATGGCATTTGTTTTGTCTTCTGTATTTTGGATTAACCTCGGCGTTTCAGTCACCTCACTTTCTGATTGGCTACACGTCACATTCAACAGACTGTGAGTGTTTTTGTCCTCGGGGGAACACCACACACTGGGATATTGGGTCAAGACAATCTAACATGTTGAATATCTCTGAGTTGAGATTGGAGTGTTCCCAACATCCTTCCAGGCCAACTAGATGACACTTAACACACCACACACAACAGGACTGTCTCATAAGATTATCTTTAAAGCCATTACAATAATCAGGGAGTCTGTAAGATACTCAGAAGGGTAAAATCAGGTCAAAAATTTGCACAATTATCTTGTTGTGTGAACCAGGCTTAAGGGCCTCAAACTTCTGTTTAGAAACCAGGTAGAGTGCAAAGTGGGCTCCTGCAAGGTGACTTTTTTGCATTGAATTTTGGGACTGTATTTCAGAAAATTTGTCAGACTTGAGGAAATGTAATATTGGAACAAGTGACAGGAAGACCAGACATAATCTAAGGTCAGCCTTCCTTTTCATCTTGTGTCTAGGGGAGCGAAGACGCAAGGCAGTATGTGTTCGTGAGAGTGACCACCTTGAAGTATCGGACCAACGATGTGAACATTTACCTCGTCCCGTTGCTGTTACTGAGCCCTGCAACGCTGACTGTGAAGTCAGGTGGGAATTGTTGTGCAAAGATGTACAATTATGCCAACAAAACAAACGCTTGCACACTTTCAAACTATCTTCTCTAACAGGTGGCACGTTGCTGGAAAAAGTGAATGTTCGGCTAAGTGTGGCCCCGGCTACCATAGCCTGGATGTTCAGTGTATGAAGTACAGCCTGATAAAGAGACAGAGTGAGCGGATGGAGACCAGTGCCTGCTCAGACATCGCCAAACCTCAAACCAGAGAACCATGCCATGGAGATTGTCTGCTCAAGAGCTGGCAGTACGGTGCCTGGTCACAGGTACTTCCAGCAGAAATACACAAAGGAAACCAGACAGAATTCCTTTGTGCTTACTGTACAAACACCTGAAGATAATTATTTTTGATTATTTGGAAAATACAAAACTCGTGAGTAATTGCATTAATTGAGTGTTTCCGAATGCATGAGGATATTGTGTATGTTTTGGACAGTGCTCTAAGTCGTGTGGGCGTGGGAGTCGGAGCAGAGAGTCTTACTGCATGAACAATCTGGGCCGGCGCCTGGTGGACAGAGACTGCAGTGAGTACCAGAGGGTGGTAACTGAGACCTGCAACGAGCAACCCTGTCCAAAGTGGAGCGTTAGTGAGTGGAGCGAGGTGGGCCCTTACATACACACACACACACACACACACACACACACAC